AAGAGTACTTCTAAATCTCTATATTCTCACCTATCTAATCTGTGTAGTAAGTGTACTACTACAGTGTAAGATCTTTGCAGGACCTTGTTTTATTCTGTGTAAATAATCCCTATCCCCTCAGTCTGTACAATGCAGCAAGCGGCCCTGGCTCCTTACCAGTGTGAGATCTGTGAGGGCAGACATTATATGTTTACCAAGTGCCTAAAATACTGTCTAGAAATTAATAAACACCTAATACACACTCGATGACAGTTCTATCATCATTAGCTACTTAAGGGTTTTGGTTTTGTTTTGTTTTTTAACCTTTTGCTTCTCCATCGCAGAGCATGATTTTATCCTCCACATCACGCTCCAAGATGGCTGCTGGAGTATAAGCCACTATGTCATGATCTAAGCAGCAGAAGGACGAAGGGTAAAGTGTACTTCTCAGTTCATCAGTGCTCTTTGATGAGCTTCTAGAAGTCCCACAAAACCCTTCCATTCATAACTCTTTGTCCTGAATTTAGATATGTGGCCACCTCTCTGCAAAGAGTTGGGAATACAGTGTTTGGCTAGGCACATTATTGCCCCATGTAAAATTAGGTTTCTATATTAAAGAAGAAGGGAGAATGTACATTGGGTAGTCAACTCACAGTTCTGCCTTGTCAAAGCTCAGAGACCTTTCAGGACTCCCTCCTGGGATGCCCAGACCCCAGGCTCAGCCCTAGGGAGGATATTGCTATGTGAAGCAGCTCGTCACATTTTTTGGAACAATAAATATCAGAAACTTTTTGTTTGTTTTTATTCTTGGCTTGATGATTGTTTTTCTGACATTTATGTTTGTGCTAGTTCTGCTCTATGAAATCATACTGGGAAAAAATCTATTTTTTTCTTCAGTGTGACAGCAGGTTTTTTTATTGAGTGATTAAATAATAGCCCTTCAAATGTTTTAAGAAAGCCATTCCATGATCATGAAGTCTTGCCTTCTTCAAGCTAAATGCTATAGGGCGTGTGTGCTCGCCAGACAGAGAGACAGAGAGACAGAAAGCGAGAAATCACCCCCAGAGGGGATGGCCATGCTGCAAGCCCTTCTCCTCCATTCTCCTCTCAGGATCTTGAGCATGCACGCACACGCGCCTGGCATGAGTTTTAAGCCACCGGGTCCGGGACACGAACTGCGGTCGACTACATGGGAGTCCAGTGACATAGCCATTACACTAACTGCTGGTCCCCTTACATTTCTTTTTCTAGCAGGAATACCATGCAAATCAGTCAAGACAAAGACATTACTATCTTTCACCACATCATTACCATCAAATAGCTTTTCATATTTTTTTCAGATTATTATTATTCTCATTTTTAAAAACAATGACTATATATCATTTGTCTTCTCCACACTGTCTTCAGCATCTATTTTCACTGCTTTTATGCCTTCCAATATTTCTATTTCTACCATAAAGTGTGGATAGTAGGTTTATATTAAGTGGATATATACAGTATCTTTCTTTTATATCCTGGCTTGCTTCACTCAGCAATAGATCCTCCATGTTCAACCACTTTCTATCAAATGCCAGGGTCTTGTCATTTTTTATAGCAGAATAGTATTCCACAGAGTATATGTGCCACACTTTTTCCATCCATTCATCTGCTTGTGGACATTTAGGTTGGTTCCTTGTCTTAGTGATTGTGAATAATGCTGCAATAAACATTGATGTGCAAGCACTTTTCTAGCTGAGCATTCTCCTGTCCTTTGGGTAGATACCTAGAAGAGGGATTGCTGGATCAAATGGTAGTTCTACTTGTAGATCTTTGAGGAACCTCCATATTGTTTTCCACAGTAGCTGAACCAGTTTACATTCCCACCAACAATGTAGGAGAATTCCCCTTTCACTACATCCCCACCAACACTTACCACTTTTTGTATTTTTAATCTTCACCATTCTGACAGGGGTTAGATGGTATTTCATTGTGGTTTTAATCTGCATCTCCCTTATGATGAGAGATGTTGAGCATTTACGCATATGCTTTTTGGATGTTCGTATGTCTTCCTTAGGGAGGTTTTTGTTCAGCTCATTTTCCCATCTTTTAATTGGGTTAATAATTTTTTTAATAAGCTGCTATAGTTCCCTGTGTATTCTGGTTATCATTCCCTTGTCTGAGGCATATTTTACAAAAATATTCTCCCATTCTAAGGGTTGTTGATTTACAGTAATCACTGTGTCCTTTGCTGTGCAGAACCTTCTTAGTCTGATAT